GGGCCCCCTGGGCTGCCCTAAAAACCTCCCTCTTCCAGGGCCTCTGAAGACCCTTCCCCTAGTGCAGAACACTGGGCGGTGTCCAGGGCTCCCCACAACACCGGCCCCTTCCCACACTCCCGGTGGACACACTGCCCTTTGCCCTGCTCTGCGGGAGCTGGGCCCCCATCCCTGTGCCTCTGTCTCCTCCAGGGCAGGAAAGGAATCCAACTCCCAGCCCATGGAGAACCTGACATCTCAGCTCAGGCCCTGGCTGGACTCATCCAGTCACCAGCCCCACGAGGGGCTCCAGTCCCTTTCCTCCAGCGCCACGGGAGGCAGAGTCTCTGGGGAAGAGCCGAGGGGACCATTAACTCACCAGATGCCACATGGTCTTGGGTTGTGACGTGGGGACCACATGCTCCTGATGGTCTTGGAGCCCCTGGACTGTCCCGCCGTTTGGGCTGTGGAATCCTGAGAAGCCCCAAGCCCATCAAGAAATCAGAGCCTTCCCCCAAGATGTGGAGCCATCAGCTGGAAGAACTGGGCAGCTGGAGAGGCCCCCAAATCCCAAGGCCTCCCATCCTCCCATCTGGTGACCTCACCAGGAGACCTTTGCCCTGGGGATGTGGGGCAGGAACATCCCCTGGAGCCTGGCTGGAGGTTTCCCTGGAGGCCTCCTGGACCAGGATGCAAAAAGGGCAAGCCTGACTTGAGGCCACGACAGGGTGGCCAGAACAGGGCGGGTGCTGGGCTTCCTGGTTGTCTCCTGGAAGTGGGGTCGGGCCAGGGGACACGGGATGGGGAGATGCTGCCACCTGGGCTTGGTCGGCCCATTTGTGAGCACCAAGGGAAGCTGAAGCCCGGGCAGCTGTGGGGCAGGAGGACTCTCAGGGAGGGGAGAGTCAGCTGCACAGAATCAGAGCCGGAGGGCATGGCTTCAAGACACAGAGGGTGGCCCCGGGGAGGATGAGATGCCCTCTGCTGATGGGGATGAAAGGCGTCCGACTTGAGCTTTGGGGGTCAGCCGTGGACTCCTGTGGGACCCTCAGCAGAGACATCCTAAAGGTTCCCAACAAGCTAGCGACACAAGGAAGATGCCTTGGCTGAAAGCCGAGATCGTCTGGCCAGGGTGGCCGTCCCTGGGTCTGGCTGCATGAAGTCCCAAGGGCAGCTGTCCACCTACCCTGCAGGGAGTGCCTCTCCCTGGCCAGCAGCTGCACCAGCGCCCAGAATGCATCCTCCTCAGGCAGATAAAGGAGGAACAAGGCCGCGATGTGGCTCAGGTCCCTGCAGTAGCCCACCTCCTGCAAAAGCCAGAGTCACCGTGGAAGGACATCATCTGGGAGGACTGAGGTCACCTGGGAGGACTCATGTCATTGGAGAGGGCAGAGGTGACTGGAGAGGCTTCCACTGAAGAAGAGGCTTCCTCAGGATGCAAATTCATTTCATGACAAGAGCCAAGTCCATCAGGCACTTCAGCACCTTGTCCAAAATGTCTCCTGATAGCACCATCCCGCATGCGACCCTGAGCTTTGGGGCAGCCCCAGGAGGAGGGCGTCATTTCTTGTGCTGAGAAGTGGTGGTCAGACCCAGGTGACACCAGGAGTCCAGGCCCGACTCCTTTGTGTCTCAGCTTGACCCCTTGAGATCACCCCCTTGCTGGGAGGTTTATGCGAGCAGTGAGCTGGAGTCCTACATCCTATATCCTGGTGGGTCACAAACACTAACTTTAAAAGAAGTGATGGCACCCCACCAGACACCCACTCCTGTGAACAGGGAAATACTGCCTGGGAACATCACTGCCGGGAATACTCACCGGGTTATACTCCGAATATGCCAGGAGGATGTAGAAGAGTTCCCGCTGCCTAGGAAACAGAGAAATGAGGCTTTTGTTTGTTTTGTGCAGATGCCGTAAGTTTCACTTTGTCTACAAAGCCTAACAACAAATCCCACGTTAGGTTCAGATGATTCACCAGATAAGCAGTGAGCTCTTCAGGGCCTTTGACTTTGAGGAAATGTTTCAGTAAAATCCACATCTGTGACATGCAGATAGCCCAGTTGTACAGTGACTTGCCTGCTCCTTTTCACTCTGAATGATTTTCTTTATTTATTTTCAGTTTGCACACACGCCAGTTCAGCCTTTGGGTGTCCAGTTCCTCCACGGTTCTAAACCAATGGGGCAGTTTCCTGGCCACTGCCCCAGCCCCTCCTGCAGCAACTCCTTCATCTTCCAAGTCTCCAGGGTGGCCCCTATGCACCCAGCCTCTCCTTGATCCGTCAGTCCCCGGCCACCCAGACTGCTTCTCAGTCCCTATGGTTTGGCCTTTTCCAGAATGGCCCAGGAATGGGAATCCTACGTGGTAGCTTATTGGGTCTGGCTTCTTTCCCTCAGCAAAATGCATCTAGGATCCACCCACGTTCGTGCGGGCATCACTGGCTCGTTCCCTTTTCTCACTGTGTCTTCCGTTTGGAGGGAGGACCAGCCTTGCTCTCCCCATTCCCGTGTTGAAGGCTGTCCCTGAAGGCTCCATGTGTGAGTGACGATGAATCAAGCAGTGGACGTGGCATGCAAGTTTCATGTGGATGTCAGTTTTCAAATCAGTGGGTTCAATATCTGTGACACTTTGGGGACACGTGGTTCAAGTCCATTGAGCTTTGTGAGCCACTGCCCAACTGGCTGCCAAAGTGGCTGTGCCATGTCATGTTCCCAGCAGACATGGATGACAGTTTCCAGGACCCCTAGTCCACCCAGCTTTTGGTACTGTCAGTGTTGCCTGGAGAGGCTCATGGGCATTCCATCCTGCCACCCTCCTGTGGGTCCTACCATGGGTCCCCATGGGTCAGGGAGAGCACCTTTCACCATTGTGCATGATTTTGTTTGCTGCCTTCTGTCTCCTCAGGATCCTCCTGGGTTCTGGCCCCACATGCTCCAGTCTGGCCCAGGGCTTGGAAGCAGGGAAGTGCTCTGTTCATGGTGCCGGCTGGTCCCTGAGCCAGGAGAGCTCTTGGCAGCTCTGTCATCCCTCCTGGGTGACCCTGGCCTCTTCTCCAGGGAAGCCCCCATCCCTTTCATTCACTCCATCTCCACTGGGACCCTGTGGCTCCCGTAGGCTTACTTGGCTCCATATCAATCCCTGAAGAAGATGTGATTCCTTAGTGTCCTGCTCATGTCCAGGTCGATCTGGTGGATGTGTTCAGATGACCTCTTGCCCTTCTCCTTCATGACCTGTAGGGCAGGGCCAAGAGGAGGAAGCAGCCTCAGAATAGATAGAAGATTCCCTGCCCCAAATGGCAGTCAGCCCACAGTCAGCACTTTGGGAAGGAAGGAAAGCAGGAAGGTTTCCTTCTGCTAAACCTGATTTTTGGCTTGTTACTGAAGCCGGGGAGGGTCACCAGAGCCGAGTTTGTCTGTGGTAACTATGTCACCGTCCGTGCCCAGGATGTGCATCTGACCATCCCACCCACCCCCCAGCCTGGGCTTGATGCTCCCTCCAGCTGGAGACCTGGGCCCCTGACACAGCCTGTCCTGTTTGTCGTGCTCTGGCTGAGCGTACCTTGTATGTTCTGCGGTTTTTCACTTGACTTTCTGTATGTTCAGTAGGACTGACCACACTTGGTCCCGGATGTTCATGGGAATGCCCTTATATATTCGATCTATCAGCTGTGGGCAGAAAGGCCACGGGGTGACCTCAGTGAGGGCCAGAGCCCGAGGATTCTGGAAATCATTGGTTTTGGTCCCACGATCCCTCGGTAGAGGTGAGATCAAGCTGGGACAGGGTCTCCCTTCCCAGGATTGAAAGAGTGGTTGGACACTCAGAGTCAGAACTCTGATCTGAACCTTTTCCTTCCTTCAAGTCACTGGGGCATCCCTAGCCTTGAGCTCCGGGTGGTCCCAGCCCTAGATTCAGATTCCCTCCCAGCAAGGTGACGCTTCCATAAATAGGCAGGAAATCTGGCGACCAGGCCTGCAGTCCTCTGGGTGAGGACAGTGTGCCACCCGCCCTCTGAGAGGCTGACGGTGCCAGGTCACAACCATGGGTGCCCGTCCCCGGTCTCTGCAGAGAGTGATTCCGGGGGCCTCTCCCTCCACACATTACCTTTTTACTGTTCTTCTGTGTCTCCCATTGTGCCAGCATTTCCATCCACTTACTCTTTCATCTCATCTGCTGCCGCATTTGCTGTCAAATGAGGAATGTTGGAGTTAGCGGAGCTGCCAGGCTTCCCAGAGCCGCCCCTGGATGCTGGGTCCTGGGCTCTAGAGGACTGGGTCCTGGTGGGACCCAGTTGGAAGGAGCCAGGGAAGGGCAGACCCTAAGGGCTGAGAGCCTTTGAGCAAATGAGCGCCAGTGGGCTGGCTTTGGGACCCCGGGACGTGCCATCCTCAGGCCACAGACACACCAGTCTTAGATCAGGTCCCAGTCTCTAGGTGGGGTCCTGACACAGGCGGGCAGCCACCCCCAAGTCAGGACTGTGCTTCTCACTTTGGAATTTTATCAAACTGCCCAGGTTACAGCAACCTGGGGTCAGGTCCAGCAGGGACTGCTGCCTCTTCCGGTGACAGCATGTGGCCCTCAGTTGCCACTGCACAGACCAGCTGCCTCCTCTGCCTCATCGACCACCCGCCCACATCCTGGACCAGCGCCCCCATGCATCAGGCTCTTACTTTCGCCTCCTGGGCAGTGACCGGGGGGCAGCTCTGTCTCACTATAAGGCAACATAGGCAAAGCTGAGGACCTGCACATGGCCTGGAGCCGCCCCAGTCAGGGAGCCGACCCCCAGAAAGGACTGGCTCTGTCCCTATCCAGCTCAGGGCTCAGCCCGGGAGAAGGCACAGGGAAGGGAGGACAAGGGCCTTCCTGTGTGGCTGATTCCCAGGAGGGGCAGGACCTGGGAGAAGAGGGAGTGCGGGGCCAGCCTGGCCGGGGTTACTGGGGCCCCTGGCGTGGGGGGTGATCAGGCTGCACAATGGGGCTGCCCGTCCTGGACTGGAGGTGGTGCTTTCTGCTGGATCTGAGGAAGGTCAGGCCTGAGATTGGATGGGGGCCACCCAGGGTGGGTGACTGGGCCCTGACAGGAGTCCCTCAGGGAGTGACCACGTTACGCTACCAGGGTCAAGGGAGCCTGCCCTGAGACCTGCCTGGTGCACCCTGGGTGCACCAGGGGCCCATCCCGCTTGACAGCCCCAAGGCCCTTGCAGGTTCTGACTTCCCAGGGTCCACCTGCCTCTCCCTGCATCTGAGCCACACACCCTGCGTTTCAAAAGTGGCACGGCTCACAAGCTCACTCCCACCCTACTTCCCCTGGGATCCTGTCTCTCCATCCTACGATCCCTGACAGATGGGCTCCTGGCTGGGCTCCTCTTACCTGGCCCCAGATCCCTTCCCAGCACCAGACCCAGGGTATTTAGCCGAAAGCCCCTCTGCCTCCCTGGCCTCACCGTGAGATGTCCAGAATGGGGCCCTGCCTGTCTTCCTCCCCATTCTCCTAGGACCACAGCCCCCACTGTCCCCATGCCTTTCCCACTTCCCCATGGGGACAGTGAGGGCTGTAGCTCTAGGGAAATGGGGGACCAGTCAAACCTTTAGATGACAGGCCGGGCGCGGTGGCTCACGCCTGTAATCCCAACATTTTGGGAGGCCGAGGCGGGCAGATCACGAAATCAGGAGATGGAGACCATCCTGGCTAAGATGGTGAAACCCCGTCTCTACTAAAAATACAAAAAATTAGCCGGGTGTGGTGGTGGGCACCTGTAGTCCCATCTACTTGGGAAGCTGAGGCAGGAGAATGGTGTGAACCTGGGAGGTGGAGCTTGCAGTAAGCTGAGATCACGCCACTGCACTCCAGCCTGGGCAACAGAGTGAGACGTCATCTCAAAAACAAAACAAAGAAAACCCTTCAGATGACTGTGACCTCAGCTGACATTTGACTGCAAGCTCACGAGAGATCCGAAGACGGAACCATCCCACTAAGAAAGAGGTGCCCAAATTCCTAATCTAATAAATAGATATTTTTGTATTTTTTAAGCTGCTAAAATTTAGGTTAATGTGTTGTGCAGCTATAGATAATTAATATAGATTTTGATGGAGTGCTGTCATAACAAATACCTAAAAACATGGAAGTGGAAGTGGCTTTGGAATTGGGCAGGGAATGGAAACTGGAAGGACTTTGAGGAGAGTGTTTGTGTAAGTCTAAGGTGCCAGGCTATTTGCACAAGCTGGCATTTGGACAGACTGAGGACTTAAAGAAAAATGTTACTGGAAACTGAGGGAAAGGGGATCCAGTTAGGGGAACTGGAGTGCTAGGTGGGAAGGAGATTTTTCCCTTAAAATTTTTGAATATTTAGAGTATTATCTATATGAAAAAACTACATTGATGATATACAAATAATAATTTTTAAAATAAGGCTCTAGAAAGCTGGACATTGTGTCACATGCCTGTAGTCTGAGCTCCTTGGGCAGCTGAGGTAAGAGGATTGCTTGAGCCCTGGAGTTCAAGGCTTATAGTGCACTGTGATTGCCCCTTTGAATAGCCACTGTACTCCAGCCAGGGCAGCACAGTGAGATCCCATCTCTATTTTT